AAACATCTAACGCTTTTGGCTTAAATTATATGACTTAGATTAAATTGAATCTCCTGAATAATGTCGTCGCTGATTGCGTGCAGCTATATGTTAAAACGCTGAGAATGACGTTTATACTTATCTAGTTTTTACTCCACCTGTTCTGGTTCACAATTAATAAGTAATTTAAGTTAAATGTTGAATCAACGCAAATGTTGTATTTTCAGAGAAACATGAGCACTCCGAGGAAAAGAAGTACTGAAGGTGAGTTTTTCAAAACCGTTTACATTTCCTATCTGAAAGCAAATGTATCAATATTGCATTTAAAAATAAGCTTTTTTGAAGAATATAAAACTTTTTTCAGTATAATTTTAGGATGATTAAACTATTCCTAATGTAATAGATGGATACTTTTAGAATTTATTGTATACTCATTTTTATCCAACAATAAGAACATAACATTAATCCTATTTTAAGTAAGCCCAAAAACGAAATTTTGCCTAAAGCGAAAACTGATAAATGATGATGCAAAATTATATATATTTCAGTTGCCAAACGGATGATAGCTAGGGCGTTGGGTTGGAATAAAACCAGATTCCCAGGTTGGGCTTTATGAATTCTTTTGCTAAACTTTACTTCACAATTAATTCAGTGGCAAAAGAAACAAACTGCATAGTAACAATTTTTTCCTTATAGACACAACAGATAGAAGTAAGATTATTAACGATCCCAAACGCTTATTTTTCGCCGTAAGCCTGTACCCCTTTTCATTTTTAACAAACACTCCCTTTAATATCACATATTTTAGTATGCTTCTTTGTCTGAAAATGAAGCTTGTGACCAAATTTGTTCCATATATTAAAATTATGTAATGCAGAGGAAAAAGAGGAAAGAAAGGAAATAGAGAGGAAGAAAATACAAGAGGAGAGAAAAGAAGATGAAGATGATGATGATGATGATGACGATGACAATGACGATGACGATGACGATGACGATGACTATGACTATGACGATGACGATGACGATGACGATGACAATGACGATGACGATGACGATGACAATGACGATGATGATGACGATGACGATGACGATGACGATGATGATGATGATGAAAAGGCAGGGCAAAGAATGTGTTTTTTCTGATTTTACCAATTTATCATAAGGCAGTAAATAAACATTACATTGCCTACATTCCCCTTNCAATGACAATGACGATGAAAAGAATGTTTTTTTTCAGATTTTACCAATTTATCACAAGGCAGTAAATAAACATTAAATTGCCTACATTCCCAAACCGGAAATTTAAACATATTCTTTCCATTTGATCAAGGAGGATGAAGAAAAAAAGGAGATGATGTAGGAGGTGAAAAGAAAAATCTCTAAAAGAGAAAGAGGATGGAGAGGAGAAAGCACAGGAACAGAATTGTTGAATTATGTTATTATAATTATTATAATTATAATTATTATTGTTTTTTAAATTTTGTTATTTTTTTCAGAGTGAAAATGATAAATCTGAAATTTCGGAGAAGGGAAGCAATCATTTGGTTTCTGAGGATGAGATGCACAACTTTGAAGAGGGATGGAATTAATTATAATGTGAGTAAGTAGTGAGATTTTCATATCAAGTATCCAAAACCTCACATTGTAATAACACTGTAAAATGATTTAGGTGATCAAGGTGTCAACTTTATTGAACTTGCTTAGAAGGAAAATGCTGCAACAAAAGACAACCTTTTCTCAGGTAAAATAATAAAATATCCACAATGATAGCTCCAAACAATGTGAATAAGTCTAGAAATGTTTGTTCTGTGTTTCTGAAATGTAAAATTGATAAATAAAGGAATTTAAGTCATCGTTCATTCTCCTCCAGCTGAGAATGAGTTGATTTTTTCCTGTCTATTGCAGATCTTAAGACATCTTGTGATATTACATAGGTGATTGATAGACTGAAAAAATTGATGGATTGGTTATTTGATTTATTGATTGATTGATTCATTTGAATAACTGATGGTTTTAATGATTGTGGGATTACTTCATTCATTAATGACGTTTAACAACCTATAATAATCTCCATGAGAAATTGATAGTATTGATAAAGCTTTTTGTTAACTACTTCAAATTTTTAGGTTTACCCCAACCTTGAATGTCAAGGACAGAAACAAGAAATACAAGCTTTTTTAATTATAATGTGAGTAAGTAGTGAGATTCAATATCAAGTATCCAAAAACTCACATTGTAATCACACTGTAAAATGATTCAGATGAAGACTTAATTATAATGTGAGTAAGTAGTGAGATTTTCATATCAAGTATCCGAAAACTCACATTGTAATCACACTGTAAAATGATTCAACAGATGAAGACTTAATTATAATGTGAGTAAGTAGTGAGATTTTCATATCAAGTATCCGAAAACTCACATTGTAATCACACTGTAAAATGAGTCAGCTGATCAAGGTGTCAACTTTATTGAACTTGCTGAGAAGGAAAATGCTGCAACAAAATCTTCCGGAGCAGCTCCTTCAGTCATCAATCTGTATTAATCCTCTGGCTGCTCTATCCCATCTGGTGATCTTGGACATAATACTGTGGTTCTAGATACAGGTCTGTTAACCCTAGCGCACTAGGATTGTATTTTTCTTAAAACCGAATATATCATTTATTTCATATTTCAGACATTTCTGTTCCCAAGATTTCTGTAACCTCAACAATCCGATGATTTTGAAAACAAGAATTATGAGGTAAAATAATAAAGTATCTGCAATGGTACCTCAAACAAATGATAGATCAAACAAATGGTAGCTCTAACAAATATTCATTAAATTGTGGAGACCCTGGATTACCAGCTGACTGCCGGAAACTCTGAAGACCAAACCAAACATATTTATTCAGTATAGTTTTTCTCATGTTGTAAGTTAGACAAAATATATACAGTTAGTCTCGTTTATATCTTTGTTATTTTGCGTTGCTACATTTTGGTGACCCCGACGTGATTTTCGTCGCTGTCGAAGTTAAGCAGTCTCTCTCATTTATATTTTTTTATATATTTATATATATATCGATTTTGTGAACAAACTTAATTTTTAAAAACGAATGAAATTTTTCGTGAACCATGGGATTGTTCAGAAATTTTAAAAAACATTGAATGAACAAAAATTTTATCGTGCAACGAAAATTTTGAAACTGTCTTTTTTTAACTGAACAAAAGATTTTACAAAAAGGATGCATATTTACATATTTACATACCCCTACATTTTCTACTCTACCAGTTAATTTCCTAGATTTAAGAGTATTCAAGATTTCTAACATTCAATTAGTAAAGTTTTAGTTCTTCAAACTTTTAGTTGAAATGTAAAAGTAACCTTCAATCTTCATATTTGAACTCTCAATTTGAATATTCTACTGGATAAAGATGGATTCCAATACAAGTTTCTGTATAGTTTCTGTATGTTTTGTCCTCACAGTAAATATCAAATTTTATCATATGTTTTACCATAAAAGAACCATTTTAAAATAAATGTTAGATATATTTAGTTTTATTTCTGATAATGAAGTATAAATATAGAAATATTTAATTAAATTAAAATTAAAAGTGATTACATACTTCCTGAAAGTTATATTTACATAGTATGTTTCATTAAAAAACTTGGCTACGAGAATTATGAGGTTTGCATCAACCTCAAACATCAAGGAGAAATCAGATATAAATACACTGATATTAATGTAATGAAAATTCACTGGTCTTGTCTGAAACCCCACTTTACGTTATGTACATGCTTGTTTTTAAAAAATAACGTAGTTTTTGGATAAGATGCATACAATTTCTGAATTGACTTGCAACAATACAAATTCTGAATCTACTTTTTATGATCTGGCGATGGCGACCGTACCCAAAAGTAGATGGTAGATTCATTAGTTGTTTATTTTCAAAATACAGGGTGTCCCACATCATATTAGACCGTCAACAGGTCTAAATTGCGATTTTTGGGACTGATAAGAAAATTTAATTAGAATAAATCAATTTGAAAAATAACATAAGGCTTATATAATCATTTTCTTGCAGAAAATGATAAGTTTTTCGAGTATTAAGGGTTTATTTTGTCGTTAAAGATTAGAGATAATCTAATATGATCTGGGACGCTCTGTATATTCCCTTCATTTTTAATTATAATGTGAGGAAGTAGTGAGATTCCATATCAAGTATCCGAAAACTCACATTGTAATCACACTGTAAAATGATTCAGCTGATCAAGGTGTCAACTTTATTGAACTTGCTGAGAAGGAAAATGCTGCAACAAAACCTTCCGGAGCAGCTCCTTCAGTCATCGGTCTGTATTAATCCTCTGGCGGCTCTTGCCCATCTGGTGATCTTGAGGTAATTAAACAATTTGTTCTAAAAATAAAAAATGTCGCATTTTTATGAAAATATTTTGAGTTATTGTACGCAATACAAATTTTACCTGTATATGTAAGATATTTAAATATTTTTTTATTAATGTAAGTTGTAAATATTTTAGTTTTATATTGATGTAAGATACAAATATTCTTTATTAATGTAAGTTGTAAATATTTTAGTTTTATATTGTTGTAAGATACAAATATTTTTCATTAATGAACGATAAAAAATTTTACATTGATGTAAGATACAAATATAATTATAGTTATTTGTAAGCTGTAGCTGGCTAAACGGCTGGACCAAATTAGCTACAAAAAATTGGAAAAAAACATATTTTTAAATTTAATTTATTTACTCTTTTAATTTAATGTTTAATTTTTTTCCTAATTTCCATTGGCATACTTTAAGGGATAGTTGATCAGCATTACTAGTTAAACTGTCTCACTCAAAAGTATTAATACACTAATACGTCTATCAGTTATTTGCCTATTCATATAAACATCTATAATCAGTTTGTTATTGGATACGTTTTCAGAATTAGTGTTTTTAAATTATTTAATAACGACGACATAAAATGTAAAAAAATTCTGCAATAAACTATTGACGTCATGTATAGGAACATGTTAAGAGAATGAACATTCATCTTATCATCAAAACACTGCAATACTTAGTTCAAGTACCTTAAATAGCTGGTCAGTCGTTTTTTTGGGAAAAGTTACATTGACATATTTTGTATAGCAAATATGTAATTTATTTACTAATTCAGACTTTTATTGAACTCGTCGAGGAGGAAAATGCACCAAGAATCTAACGATTTAGAAGATAACCTGTTTTCAGGTAAAATTATAAAATAACTAAAATAGCAAAGCAAACAAACAGAATAAGGTTAGCTTGTAATTTACGTGGACAAGTTATGTATCACTAAATTGTTATCTGAAACTGATTAATCTTCAATAGATCTTTTTAAAAATCGTATATTGATTTATACGTCTAATCATATATTTATCTTTTCATCATTTCATCTATTCATCTATTCATTTATTCATCTATTCATCAATTCATCCATTACAAACCAATATGTTACTTATTTACTAATTCAGAGTTCTCAGTGTCTGAGTTTCTGTCAAGAAAGATTCTGGTTATCAAGATGACATTCTTGAACTGGACGAGGTTGAGAATGCCAAAAAAAGTCTATGAATCAAAATGTGAGATCAAGATATCAATGTTATAGACATTGCACAGTTCAAGACGAAAATCAGTTATTTTGAAGGACCATTTAGAAATGCGAAACAAACATTTGAATGATATGTAAACCTGTTGTAAAGCTAGTTTTAAACTGTCGACAGTAGTTTTGTAACCTTGCTCATGTTATTTTTAAATTTTTTATCGTTTATTTACTCTACTTTCAGGATTTGAATTGTTTGTTGTGGAGATATGCTCTGTATCTACAATTGGAGCCTTTGGCCATCCCTACAACTTATGATTTGATTTGATTTTATTTGATTTGATTTTATTTGATTTGGGAAGTTGTTTTATGCATGGTCGTTATTAAAATATTTAGCATGATACACAACATTTTTTTAGTTTTATGTTAACCATTTTTTTTAACATTTCAGTATGAACATATAAATATCCTTTCAGATGGAAATGATCGACTTCATATAGTTTATATTTTGTGTTATACTTAGCGCATCATTTGTCAACACATTAAATGGCAAGTATATAATAATCGTTTTTATGCCAAAATTCTGGAAATTTATTTCATAAAATGGTTATTGGTTAAATGTCCAAAAGGTCATACACTAGATACATAATCCAGACTGGACAAACACCAGGCTCGAATATATTAAGAAGACGACATTCTACAAGTCCATTAAGCCAAGAGGATACATATTCGTACAATTAAGATACATTAGTACCCCTTGCAATACAAATTTGTCTCAATTTATAACGTAAAAGTTTCCCCAACTCGCAAAGTTTAACTATAATACTTACTCTACCTCACAGGAATAATAAACAAATATTCTAAATGTCGTCTTCATATTTCTGATATTCTTTCAGATTATTATATTAGTTGTAGTGTTGGATTTTGCCATATACTATATTTAACTGTTTTACATATTTGGAAATAAATAATTAATTAATACTTAGCCTATATTTAAATTTTAGTAAGGTTTCACCAAAAATGATTTTTAATATATTGAATGCTCGAACTAAGAATTCACACAGTGAGAATACCGTATATTTTATGGGTTTACTGAGGCCTCAATTTTGGCACAAGAACTTAAAACATAAGCAATAAAACAAGGTAGAATCTTTTTTTTTCAATGGACCCCAGGGAAGGTTTATGAATGATTAAAATTTCAAATATTTGTCTCCATCAAAATTCGATCTTCATTAAATTTTTGAAAATTTTGAAAATCCACGAAATTTTATGTGAAAATCCGTGAATTATTTTTGTTTTGTTTTACGATGTACACAAAGAGAACATATTCTCAATTAAGACTAGTATTTATATAATTCTGAACATGCAAAATCATCCATCAAAATATTAAATCTGTTGTTTGTGGCTGCTAACGAAAGACGACTTCACCGTCATTTTTGGGTCCCGAAATCATGTTTACTGCAGCGATAGCAAGAAAGATAGTTAGATACAAGAAGATAGATAGATAAATTCACCGGCGCCATTGACCGCTGAAGATAGATAGATAGCACACTATCACTATTGGTCGAAAAATCGCGCTTGTGTTTTATTGGATAAAAATCCTAATGGACAGTTGAAACTAGGGTGACCATGCAAAGACCGAGAATGAGAAGTTCAGGTAAAAACCCATGGCACTGTGACATTTAATCTGTTGATATCTTTACAATCCCAGACATAAACCCTAAGGAAATCAAGATCAATCCTTGCCCTTCATCTTTGAGGGTTAATACAAGACTTCACTTTCATTCCTAGTACCAATTCAGAATTTACCTAAACCTCTCATCTTGTGTATAATATCTATCTCTCAAGGTCTTGAATAAGTTAAATCATTAGATCCCATATTGATAGATCCTCATGATCTCCTTTTCTACAGTTCCAGCATTTCTCGGAGTCTCCAGTATTTCTAACCATAGAAATGCCTGGATTATTGGAGTGTGTAGGTAGTTGAACCAGCTGTACTGAAGTAGAACCACACTGCTCTGTTTCTATTGTCTGTTCTACAGTTCCAGTGTTTCTAACCATAGAAACACCTGGAATATTAGAGTGTGTGGGTAGTTGAACCAGATGTACTGAGGTAGAACCACACTGCTCTGTTTCTGACCTATTCGTTTCATCCATTGTATCTGTCCCTTCTGTGATATCCATCTGATCTGTCATTAACCTGAGTATCAAGCTCATTAATGGTTTATTGATGTATTCTTCTGTATTCTGTATTCCAGAAGATATGATCTTGTAAACACAATTGTATAAGTCCACATGCTGTACACCTTCTAAGAGCTGTCCATGAAGTGCCTGTCCCCTAGCCTTTTGTTGAACAAACCGAGCTTGGGCTCATATGTCTGTTCGGTACAAAGGTCTAGGGTGAATCTTAATTAACAGTTGAGGTTAACTACTCCACATTCATTAATAGAAACAAAGAGATAAAGGTGTGAGGCTGGGGAAGGGTTTTAGAATGAGTCACCTACACTTTAAATATTACAGCACTAAAAGAGGAAAATCCGGCAGATTATGATGCAATGTTGAGGGGCAGGATGTAGATAGTGATGGATGATGTGGCCTCAAAACTGTTGAAAGAGAAAATTTACAGTTTTTCTTTTAGGTTGGAACAGTTGATTTGGAGGAAGGAGGTGAGGAAGGAGGCTTTCCCAGCTACAATTACTTCAGAAGTGGATGACAAAGAGGTAGATCAGAATTACAATACAGCTCTCACGATGCTATTTAGAGGGATAAGGCCAGAACATTCCTGAAAACCATGAGACTTGGGTTAGTGACAGAGACGGCAGTTCTCTTAGAGTTAAGAGTGCTCTAGAAAAAAAGAGGGAGACTGCTACGCAAGAAGGAGCTGGAAGGAAGCTAATCGCCAATCTTATCTCATCTCACAGGTCCAAATCTTATGGAACCAAAAAGGATATACTAGGGTACATAAAGAATTGGATTCTAGACAACTACCCTCTCGTACTGGAATATGTCCCTGTAACCAAAACTGCTCTAGCATCTTTCAGGATGAATCCAAAGAGAAAGAAGAAGGATGATGGAGAGGAAGAAGGAGATGACAAGTCTTATGAGAGATCGGCAGACACGTGAGTATTTTGCTTATTACAGATTACAATTGTGCATTTTTTTTACCTACTATTGTTAGTTAACCAACTCTAGAAACTACAACAACGTATTTTTGCCTAACAAAAGACATTAGCCAAATCTACTTTTCTTTTCATTATTCTCTACAGTAAATATTCTATTTCAGGTGGATGAAGGCATGTGTATCTGAGCCTAGTGACAAGAGGATGTTCAGTTTGGCAGTCAGGGATATATCAAATATTTAAGGTTTATATTTTAAGGTATGTTAAGATGAAGGGGAAGATAGATAGATAGATAGATTGATCGACGATCTAGATAGATAGATAGATAGATAAATTTGATGTCCACAAATCTATCTATCTATCTTAACTATCTTCTGGGTGTCCCACAAAACATGACAGTATGCAAGACGACTTGAATGTCGTCTTGATTTTTGATGTAATTTGACCATCCAACAAATGAAATAAAATAAAACTTCATAAATTTGTTAACTTAATAGTATTATCAATAATTTGCTTATTTTTCCACACAAAGGTGAATAAAGAAGTTTAGGTCACCAATTAAAGGTATATTTTTGATGTTAGGAGATGGATTTTTATCAGAAAATGCTCGAGGTGGAGAAACTCCGCGTTGAGTCAGAGTTGGAAGCTGAAATTGAGAAGATGAGACAGCTGGAGATTGAAAAACTCCACGTCGAGCGTAATATTCTGAAGTTGAAGATGCAGAAAAGTCGCCTTGATGCTGAACTGGAGAAGATAGAGGTGGAGAAGGACAGGTATATTTTTATTTATTCTTACATAATTATTTAATGCATTTTTAACTTTTTAAAGATTTGTAAATCCAGAGTTTCAATGCAAATTTGATGTTCAAAAGTCATACTTTGGCGGGTTGATATGTTTTCTGGATTATTTGTTTGAAATTATTGAATAACGACAACATTAAATGTAAAAAAGTTGTACAATTAACTACAGAAAAATGACAATTGATTTTATCATCAAAAATAAGTAATTTTATTCATTTATTAGTTTCTATTATCTCATTATTCTGGTTTCTCATAAATCACAAAGATTTTTGCAGATCTTATAGAATCATTATTGAACTGACGATAATTGAAGAATTTAAAAAAGTTTTCCACAACAGTGCATAATTAGTTTAACTACCTTACATAGCCGGTCACTCCCTTTAAAGCCTATATAAAAATTCACAAATAATTTAGTTCAGAGTGCACTTAATTTTTCTTTTATTTAAAGAAAAAATAATCATTTACACATAATATTTGTAAAAAAAAATTAGATTTTATGCCAATATTCTCCCATTTTTTCCATCTTTCTTTCATGTTTTCTTTCCTTCTTTTCCTTTTTTATTTTCATTTTTCTCAGAAATAGAGGACCCCCTGTGCCCCCCTTTTGAGGTTAAACGGGGGGACTGTGCCACTGTGCCCCCCCTTTGTAGCTTTGAGCAAGAAAGACCATTGCTGCAATGTAATTTAAACATGGTATTTTCTAGAGAACAAGAAGGCAATGAAGATGAAGGTGAAGCTGAAGCTGAAGCTGAAGCTGAAGCTGAAGATGAAGATGAAGATGATGATGAAGATGAAGATGAACATGAAGATGATGAAGATGAAGATGAACATTATGAAGATGATGTAATTGATTTAAATTTGGATCAGGATGATAATCCTTACATTTCCTCAAATTCCTCAACTTACCCTTCCCGTCGCCGTCCTGTCCCTTTCCCTTTTTTATCTATTTTTTCCAACCCTCTTCTAGTTCCACCTCCAACTGTCCTTGTTCCTGAAACTCCTTCTCCAACCTCTCCTAAATCTCCCCTTTTTTCCTTTACTATGTCGGAAACTCCTTCCCCTCATAAAAAAAATACAAAATTTTTTTTAAAATTTTTTTAAGTATAGTACAGTTAACAAATAGTATTTACAATGATGCAATAATTTATTATTTATTTATTATTGTATTATTTACAATGGTATTTAATGGAAATGTATTTTCAGAGAAACATGAGCACTCCGAGGAATAGAAGAACTGAAGGTGAGTTTTTCAAATCCGTTTACATTTCCTATCTGAAAGCAAATGTATCAATATTGCATTTAAAAATAAGCTTTTTTGAAGAATATAAAACTTTTTTCAGTATAATTTTAGGATGATTGAACTATTCTTAATGTAATAGATGGATACTTTTAGAATTTATTGTTTACTCATTTTTATCCAACAATAAGAACATAACATTAATCCTATTTTAAGTAAGCCCAAAAACGAAATTTTGCCTAAAACGAAAACTGATAAATGATGATGCAAAATTATATATATTTCAGTTGTCAGGATGATAGCTAGGGCGTTGGGTTGGAGTAAACCCAGATTCCCAGGTTGGGCTTTATGAATTCTTTTGCTAAACTTGACTTCACAATTAATTCAGTGGCAAAAGAAACAAACTGCATATTAACAATTTTCTCCTTATAGACACAACAGATAGAAGTAAGATTATTAACGATCCCAAGCGCTTATTTTTCGCCGTAAGCCTGTACCCCTTTTCATTTTTCACAAACACTCCCTTTAATATCACATATTTTAGTATGCTTCTTTGTCTGAAAATGAAGCTTGTGACCAAATTTGTTCCATATTTTAAAATTATGTAATGCAGAGGAAAAAGAGGAAAGAAAGGAAATAGAGAGGAAGAAAATACAAGAGGAGAGAAAAGAAGATGAAGATGATGATGATNGAGTAAGTAGTGAGATTTCATATCAAGTATCCGAAAACTCACATTGTAATAACACTGTAAAATGATTCAACAGATGAAGACTTAATTATAATGTGAGTAAGTAGTGAGATTTTCATATAAAGTATCCAAAAACT